TCCTCGAGTTGGGAGATTTTGGGGATATTTCTTGATATCGGTTCATACATATCTTTGCAGGCGATGACTGTTCCGCCAAACAGACACATTCTTTGGCAGGCGATGATTGTTCCGCCATTCGTAGTTGCAGGTATGAGGCTAAATGCCTCTTCACACAGAGGTACCCCTTGTCACCGCCGGTGAAAAACAGCAGAGCCTTGCGAGAGCTGAGTACCCTTTTTGTGCTTGTTTGAGGTTGTGCGTTCAAGCCAAAATCCCAAGCTTCTTAGTGTGATCCCTAATCGGCAGCCGTTTATGCTCAAGATATTAAGAGATGAAATCCCGTTGATGCATGGCCTTCGAAGATCAAAGAGGATTTTGATGTCGTTACACAGACGCGATTTTGGTTTGATTTCGGAAGGAGAGTGGGGGTTTTGGGCCGAGGCCTCCATGCTTTTCATGCGGTTTCAGAATGACAGATCCTGATATAGACCCTAAATCGTAGGGTCATTCTGTTGAGAAGCCCTCAACAAGGGATCCCTGGTTTTACGAGACCCCTTTTGAATAGCGTTCCTCGGCTTCAGGACGTACGTTTTCTGCGAAGGCCGTTGGGGATCCAGTTTTGCAAAGCCCTACCTGCATGTGCCCCTTGATTCGTGGGCCAGCCAGTCCGCAGATCCGACTTGGAGCCGTGTGTATTCCTAGAATCTGACAGGGTTCATGCCCTAAACGCGCAGACGGGCACCTGGCATTTTAACATTTGAAAGTCAAAGAACCTGTTGGAACACAGAACACAGAGCAGAATGGCTCTAAGAATCTTTAAGATGTATGTGCAACAGATCCTGCTTCCTTTTCGCTTAAGCTAGTGGTCCGCGTGCTGCAGTGCATGTCTTGCATGTTGTGTAGCTGAAATCGGCTCAAGCCCAAAACAGCAAACCGACTGGATCCCAGCCCTTTCCATGCACGCTTCGAGCAATCGCCATTTTCTCAGCAAGATAGGTTTAATTTCCTGGCAGCAAATGACTAGTGCATTTGCGCAAGTAGGTCTAGACGTCGACGAGCTGTCGGCAGGGCTGCTCCGCTACCGGAAGGTGTTTGGATGCCAGTGTGACATGATTGTGTCATCTTGAGTGTCGCTGATGCAAGTAACAGGCGGCGAGTGCAAAGCAGTGGGCTCAGATTGCGGATAGGCAGATGAAAGTATTCTAATCTCGGCAACTTCGTCGAGGGATTGTTGCACATGAAATCCTGGTTGCGCGTTTACTTTTGAGATTACAGTCTGGCGGTTATTGCAGAAGTGTCCTGCAGAGTGTTTAGTTCTCTTGCATTGTCAGGTCTTCAGATGGCCTCGCAAAGGAACAAGCAGGCAGCTAAGCAGCATCTCTGTGCAGGGTGTTGAGGCTTTGCCTGACAACCGTTTGCACAGCTAGCTGTTGGTTTAAATCAAAAACCTTTCAGAAACGCAGTAGCTAAGTGCCTGTCACTGACTGTTTTTGCGTACCCAAGCTTGTGAACACCGCAGAAGATGCAGACTATAGTTGAGTCACTCGGCTCGCTCTGCCAGGTAGCCCTGTTGGAGATGTTCAAGCCTTAGAACAGTGAGTGCTTGGCTCGTTCAGGGCCGACTGACCACGACCTGCTGTCAGGGAATGATGCAAGTACAGGCGGCGAGTGCAAAGCAGTGGGCTGAGATTGCAAATCTGTTCAATCTCGACAACTTCGACGAGGTATTGTTACACATGACATCGGTTCGTTAGTGTCTACTTTGCGGTTGCAGTCCCAAGATTGATGATGAAATTTCTACCAAGCGTTTGGTTCTCTTGCTTTTTCAGGTCTTCAGATGGCTTCGCAAAGGATCGCACAGGCAGCTAAGCATCTTTGCTCGTGAACCGTCCGCACGGCTAGCTGATGCCTTTAGCAGCACAGGCGCAGCGATGTGTGTCATGCATGTGGGTCTTCGAATTCAAAAGACCCCACACTCGACGGTAAGCCCGAACGACATAGTAAACAGTTCAGTGTCGCTGCTTGCTGGTCCATCGCAGCCTCAGTCGCCATTTCTGTGACGAGTATGCGTGGGCGAGTGATCATTTGTCCAGCAGAGAATCACTCCAATTTCCAGGACGTACTGCGGATGCAATCCCGGGATCGGGTGCTGACGTCCCTTGGCTTCTTTCTTTGGGACACCGGTTCTACAGCTTTGTGGATGTATCAATGAAGGGTTACAAAGAGCTAATAACAGTGTGAGAATCGAAAACTCACGCAGACTATGTGCCTAGATGCATGCCGACGACCTCCAATTCCGCAGGTTCTCTTGTGTTGTATTCTGCCGCGCCGAAGGTGACGTCCGAGGGACGACCACAGGGTCCCGATGTGCCTGCAGCCAAGCTGGACGGCATTTCTCTTCATTTCGCTGTGGTCGTGCTGCCAGAGTCTAGTGAAACCAGTTCCGGTGAACCTGCGAAGATGCTGAGAAGCTGTTTAGTTTTCTAGCTGTGCCAGGGCCGCTGGCGCCCAGCACACCCTGGCCACGCAGAAGCCAGGCCTTGTCAGGGTCAAACCTGCAAGCCAAAGGTTGCTCAGGGGCCTGGGTGTTTCAGAGGGCAGAAGATGCAGAAGTGAGTTTGAGTCATTCGGCTCGCTCTGCCAGGTGACCGTGTTGAAGATGGAGATGTTCAAGCCTTAGATCAGTGAGTGCTTCGTTCATTCGGGGCAGAATGGCCGCAAGCTTCCGAGCTAGTTGTCCGAATGCGTCTTGAAGCAGGGTTCTCGTTTGAAGTGTTGGGAGTCTGGGAACACGGAGACGATGCACCTTGGTGCATCGAGACTTGCCGATACACGGGAATGTGCAGATACGGCGACACTTTCAAATAGCATTCAGCCTTCCAGTTAGCAGCTGGCAAGAATTGAGTTTCGCCAGGCGAGGCTGGTGACCCTCCCGGAGCACAACCCTGACATGCTAGCGTGTGGAGCCCATAGAGGGATGGTCGTTTAGACACTGTTCTGTTCGATGCGCGCCAGATGTGCAAGTAAGATGGGGTTTAAGAGTCATTGCGGATGATTGCAGGTCCAGCAGGTCTCTACTGTTTCCGATCAACCTCCAGTTCTGCTATTGTTTTAGGCTTCGCTTCTCTTGATTGTCATTCTGTATGCCGCTACATATTCCAGGATGGTGAGCGTCGACGATCCGCAGAATCCGACACGCTCTGAAAGTGTTAAGCTGCGAGACCCAGGTCGGCTGCATGGGATGAGATTTTGGCTGTGCTTGCCTGAGAATGTCGATTGCTGCGACACTGCATCGTCGTTGCGCATTTCGATCAGATGGTGGATTGGATGGATCGCAGGGCATGAGTGGCCTGCCTCGAGTAGCAATACCAGCAAATTAAAGCCAGTGCGAGATGGCTCTCGCCCATCTTGCTCCACATCCAATCTTTAAATGAACACTCCGATGCTCTCTCCAAGCTCAACAGGCTTGCTTCGAAGCTTCGCACCCCGCTCATGATTAACCAAGCAACTTCCGCCACAAATAGGTCTGTGTACAGTGGGGTTGGCCCCGCTCGACCCCCCGAGATCAAGAGCGTCGTGCAAAAAGAATCAATCTGCATAACAACGAAGGAGCTGTAAGCCTGCTATGCATGTTTGTCGAAGGGTGCGTGTGCTCGGAAAACTCTGTGGCGGGCAACATATTTTGCAGCCAATCCTCAGCTTCTCGGCCGAAGTCCTGCAGCTGCCCGTTGAGTAGAGGCCTCAAGATCCTTGCGCGGCTTCAAGCAGAAGTAAGTTTGTATTTGGCAACGTGATGGCTGTGCTGTCTCATTGCCGTGAGCTTAGCAAAGTATGCAAAATCATATCGGTGAGCAAAAGAAACGTCGCTGGATTAAGTGTCCCAGGTGACATTGCTGAGCTGCACAAGAAGCTGTGTCGAATGATGAAAGAGGTGACGTTCTGCCATGGACAGTCTTTTGCTTGAGAGTTGGACGGTCATTTGTGCCAGATGGGCGGCCCTGCGTTTCCAGAATTCGTCAGGGCCCCAGCACATGAAGGCTCTGTAAGCTTAAGCCAAGATTCGCCGGTAGCCTGTTGAGAATCTCTGGGAAAGTGAGCTCAGCTGAGGTGCCCAAGACGGGCCATGCTGTTCTGGAAGTGCAGCAGAGTTTCGTGCTCATTCACATCACAGCAAGAACGGGTACTGTCAGCTGAAACCGATCGAGGTGACCTGGCCCGTGTGCACAACAAGCTGCGCACTTTCCCATCCCAGGCGGGGCCATCCGTTCGCTTGCGATTGAATTGGGGGGGACAGCGGCTTTGATGAGGCGTCCGAGACGGTTACCTTGCCTCACAGTTGCACACTCAGCGCGGAAAGGGCGCAACTATAAGCCAGTGGACATCCTGTTGAGCATCTCAGGTGACATCGCTGAGCTGCATAAGAAGCTGCGAGAAATGACGAAAGAGGTGACATGCTGCAATTGACGGTCTTTTGCTTGAGAGTTGGACGGGTCATTTGTGCCAGATGGGCGGCCCTGCGTTTCCAGAATTCGTCAGGGCCCCAGCACATGAAGGCTCTGTAAGCTTAAGCCAAGATTCGCCGGTAGCCTGTTGAGAATCTCTGGGAAAGTGAGCTCAGCTGAGGTACCCAAGACGGGACATGCCCTGTTGGAAGTGCAGCAGAGTTTCGTGCTCAGGCACATCACAGCAAGAACGGGTACTGTCAGCTGAAACCGATTGAGGTGATCTGGCCCGTGTGCACAAAAAGCTGTGCACTTTCCCATCCCAGGCGGGGCCATCCGTTCGCTTGCGATTGAATTGGGGCGGACAGCGGCTTTGATGAGGCGTCCGAGACGGTTACCTTGCCTCACGGTTGCGCACTCAGCGCGGCAAAGGCGGAACTAAGCCAGTGGACATCCTGTTGAGCATCTCAGGTGACATCGCTGAGCTGCACAAGAAGCTGCGAGGAATCATGAAAGAGGTGACATGCTGCAATTGACGGTCTTTTGCTTGAGAGTTGGACGGGTCATTTGTGCCAGATGGGCGGCCCTGCGTTTCCAGAATTCGTCAGGGCCCCAGCACATGAAGGCTCTGTAAGCTTAAGCCAAGATTCGCCGGTAGCCTGTGGAGAATCTCTGGGAAAGTGAGCTCAGCTGAGGTGCCCAAGACGGGCCATGCTGTTCTGGAAGTGCAGCAGAGTTTCGTGCTCATTCACATCACAGCAAGAACGGGTACTGTCAGCTGAAACCGATTGAGGTGACCTGGCCCGTGTGCACAAAAAGCTGCGCACTTTCCCATCCCAGGCGGGGCCATCCGTTCGCTTGCGATTGAATTGGGGCGGACAGCGGCTTTGATGAGGCGTCCGAGACGGTTACCTTGCCTCACAGTTGCGCACTCAGCGCGGCGAAGGCGGAACTAAGCCAGTGGACATCCTGTTGAGCATCTCAGGTGACATCGCTGAGCTGCACAAGAAGCTGCGAGGAATGATGAAAGAGGTGACATGCTGCAATTGACGGTCTTTTGCTTGAGAGTTGGACGGGTCATTTGTGCTAGATGGGCGGCCCTGCGTTTCCAGAATTCGTCAGGGCCCCAGCACATGAAGGCTCTGTAAGCTTAAGCCAAGATTCGCCGGTAGCCTGTTGAGAATCTCTGGGAAAGTGAGCTCAGCTGAGGTGCCCAAGACGGGCCATGCTGTTCTGGAAGTTCAGCAGAGTTTCGTGCTCATTCACATCACAGCAAGAACGGGTACTGTCAGCTGAAACCGATTGAGGTGATCTGGCCCGTGTGCACAAAAAGCTGTGCACTTTCCCATCCCAGGCGGGGCCATCCGTTCGCTTGCGATTGAATTGGGGCGGACAGCGGCTTTGATGAGGCGTCCGAGACGGTTACCTTGCCTCACAGTTGCGCACTCAGCGCGGAAAGGGCACGACTATAAGCCAGTGGACATCCTGTTGAGCATCTCAGGTGACATTGCTGAGTTGCACAAGAAGCTGCGAGGAATCATGCAAGAGGTGACATGCTGCAATTGACAGCCTTTTGTTTAAGAGTTGGACCGTCATTTGTGCCAGATGGGCGGCCCTACTTTTCCGGCATTCGCCATGGCCTAAGCAATTCGAAGCTATTGAGAATCTCGGGGGAAGCGCAGCTCGGCTGAGGTACCCAAGAAGGGCGATGCTGTTCTGGAAGTGCAGCAGAGTTTCGTGCTCAGTCACATCACACAGCAAGAACGGCCATTTTCAGTTGAAGCCGATTGAGGTGAGCTGGCCCGGGTGCACAAAAAGCTGTGCAACTTTCCATCTCAGGCAGCGCCATCCGTTCACGGCAGTTGAAGACAGGGATTTGTGACCAGTTCGATCTTCAGCTCAGGCTCGTCTTGCAAATCCAGCTCGGGCGGAGGCAACACAGGTCCCTGTCATTGCAGCCGGCAGTTTTTTGGTCATGCTTGACCCAGGTCGTTGCCTAAAAGGAGCCACGAGGAACAGGGTTTGAGGCTACGGTGCATCCGGACGGTGCTCGATGCATTTCCTTAGCGCTGCGTCCATTAGCCTGTCCCCAACAGCACTTCAGCGAGCTTCTCAAGGGCTGCAATGCAGTAGATGCCGTAAGTGTTAGATTCAGATGATTCCGTGGAGGAGCAAAACCAATGCAGGCAGCAGCTACGTTTTTCAGCTTCTCCACCCTTAATGCCGCTTCAATCCCAACCTCAACTGCTTTAGGGTTGGGTTTGACCGTGCACTGACTTATCCATTTGGTGTCAAGTGTTATCGTTGATTTGGTGTTGTTGTTGCTGATGTTGTTGGATCCCGGAAATTCCCGGCTCAGAACTAGTTTGCGCCAAGTGTCATGTTGGGGGCGTTCGGAAGCGTGCGACTTCGGAGAAGAATTCGATGGAACAATCCTGAGCCGCAATGCCGGTTCAAACGTGCATCGGTGGAGCCTCATTTTTCCAGTGCGCAACAGGGCGCGGTGACAACTCATCATAGTGGAAAGACGTTCGTTGCTGCTTTGCATGGATCTCGCACGCCGGTGCCTACCGAACGTGATAGGTGACATGACATAAAACCGCCTTCAGTCTCCTCCATAGCTCGGGCTCAGACTCGCTCGGAGCTGCAACCAGTAGGAGCCATCAGAGGGCCTGCCACGCGTCCGTGAAAGCAACATGGTAAGGGCTGGAAGCTGCCACTGCCATGATGTTTGAAAAGTTTCTGTGGGCGCTTTACCCGAACTCTCAGTGTGAGGGAATACTGACATATTTCACCGACGCATTGAAGCACAGAGTGCCTTCTGACAAAAACAGAAACCCCAAGTCCCGAACCCCAAACACGAAACCACCGCCCTTCAGTTCATACATACGTAGTACTGAAAGTTCAGACCACCATAAGCCGCAAACTCGAACCTCCTGCTCTGGCCCGGCGCCGAACCCGATCCTCAAGAAGGCTCCTCGCTTCGGCGTTGGATGCTTTTGCGCACTTCTGATGTGTTTTTCAGTCTATGGTTTAGGGTGCAGGTTTTAGGGTTCAAATTGCAGGTTTCCCGGCTTGGGGTGCAAGGTTCGGGGTGCAGGTTTTGGGGGTCAAGGTTTCGGGTTCAGAGTGCAGCGTTTCAGAACTTGCTGTGGACTTGGGCTTCGGAAGTTGGTGGTTCGGCTTACTGGTCGAGGGGCGTCAAACGAAGGTTTGTCGTTTCTTGTCGCGAAATCTGGTGTGGTGTATGGGATCTTAGGGTAAGCTTTTAAAGCTGAAAAACCTAAGCCGAAAGTTTGAATCTTCAGGCCCGCGCCCTAAATCCATGCCCGGAGCCGTGAACTTAGAGCAGGGAGCAAAACTGTAAATTCCAGGCTACGAAGCTTCACAATTTAGGGCTCGGATCCAGGGTCGAGGAAGCTTGCTTTAAGCCTAACTCGTGTACCAAAGGCCCCCTGAAGCCCAAGATCCAAACCCAACGCAAGCAACATTTTGTTGTGAGGGTTCATTTTTCCGGCGATGTCGGCGGAGCCCGGGGACACCGTCGTGCTGGCGCGCTATCCCTTTGCGCGGGGCGAGGAAGGTTTAGTTTAAGGTTTCAGGAGTATGGTTTCGGCGGGCTCCCGGCGTCGTCAGTGTGATGCTACGGGTAACAAAAGCAGTAGCATGAAGCAAAAGAATAGCAGCAGTACTGACATTGCAAAAGAATGCAGCATTGTATGATTGACTTGTTGCAGGCATGAAAGCTTCGCATCAGCTGGGTGAGCAGTAGTATTTTTGAAAGAATCACCCAACACCGTTGCCATCAGAGCGATGCTTGTATTAGCTCAGGCAAGCGAAACAGTAGTCATTCCAAATGTGGACTTGTTCATGGAAAGGGCCAGAAGAGCAAGCAACAGGCGGTTGTAGCAAGGCCAATCAACGCATGCATGCGGATGTACCTCGTTGGAATCCCAGATGGTGGCTACCGAAGTTGCAGAGTCGAAGTTCTGCCTCCAATGATTCTTCCAGCAGCTTCGGGCAGTTTCGAACCCGCAAGAGCGGAGCTACACATGCCTGCTTGCCCACATCATCTACAGTTCCCAGTTTTGCGACCCTACGCCCAAAAGCCCAAACCCAATCCTGCTAATTGCAATGAGTTGCAACCGCAAGCCCAGCAACAACTTGAATCTTGCACCCGCAACGCTCAAGTACACCAGCAACCCAAGACACGCTTCAATCCCAAAAGCCTCGGCTGTAGAACTTGCAACCCAATTTTCCGACCACTGGCCGTAAGATTGTCAACCTAAAAGTCGCCAAACTTCAGACCCACGAGGGGCCAGAACATAAGAAAAGCAAATCCCAGAGATCAGTTTGGGAATCCCCAAACGATCCTTGTGGCTCTGCAAGCTGCTGGCGCGCCTAAGCTCACCCAGCATCCCGAGTCTTACCGTCCGCTTCATAATCTCCGCCCTAAACCAATGTAGGGAAGTACCGAAAACTCGGAGGATCATGGGACTTAGTAGGCATGTTTATAAGTACCTTAATTGGGGCTATAAGCAATTGTAACTGTACTTACCTTACTTACAACCCCAATGACTAAGTCCCATGATCCTTTAAGAACTCCCGAGCCTCGAAGCAGGCCCAAGGAGCCGCTAGAGGCTGGGCGCCTGCGAGGCCTCGCCATGAGCTGGCACGCGGAGTCCGCGCCTGGCGTGCTTGTTTAGGGAGGAGCCAGGTAGTAGGGCTTGGGGTTTAGGGTTTAGGATCCCCTTTAGTGGGGTTTTGGTGATTGCATATTCTCTGACCCACGGATGTCAGGCTGAAGGTTTGGTGGCCTTGCGTATGGCGTATGGGCCCGGGTTCAGGAGCAGCATTGTTACCCTGTGTCTCATCCTTATTTTGATCTCGGCCAGGTATCAGAAGCAATCGGCCTTTGTCGAGGATGAGACTTGGACGTTCTTTAGAATGCTTTGTCGAAGCCCTGACTGTGAGAAGCGGATCGCTCGCAACACAGCATCAAGAAGCCAACACCAACAAATTGATGAACTGTGCAGTTGCATGGTGGGACTTGACATATCTTGACATACTGTGGGACCAGTGTTTGCATGCGGACAAACATGCTTCTTCACATGTGCGTCTAAGCATGTATGAGTGCATGTATGATGTATGATTGTATGTGGGTACGTTTTTATGTCAATGTATGTATGTATGTGCGTATGCAAGTATGTATTCATACATGCATGCAGGCATGTATATGTACATATCTGTATGTATTTATGTATATGTGCTTGTATTTACGTTAGTCTGTATGTGTGCATGTCTCTGTGTATGCAGCTGCATCTGCAGATGTGCATGCATACACACTTGTACATGCATTTTGTTATCCGTGCTTATTTGTGCGTATCTATACACATCTGTGCACAAATGCATGCATATGATGTAAACTAAGATGAATATGCATATGTGTATGTGTATGTGTACGTACAAGTTCTTGTGGAAGTATCGTATACATTCGTGAATCTTTAGCGCTGTGTGCACGCGTGTGAACGTGTCTTTGTGGGTATGCATACACCGGCGCATGCATAGATACATGTAAATGTGTGCATTACTTACAGCTGAGGAGAAGGAGTATCTGAAGCTTGCCGGGGGCCTGGTGGCTGCAGTTCAGGGCTTGGGTCAAAGTTTCAGGTGTTTGTCCAGGTTTCTGGTTGATGTTAAAGGATGACGGTTCGGGGGATTTATATTGAGCTTTAGGGTCGATGTTGAGGGTGAACGTGAGCGCTCAGGAGTTTGGTAAGGAGCTTAGGTTGGCGGCCGAGTTTTTATATATGGGTTTTGAAGTAAACGTTCGGGTTCGGGGTCGCGGGCTGAATTTGAGATAGAGGTTGAAAGAAGGTTCCGATGCTCCGGGGCGTGGTGGTAAGGTGACTGCTGGCACGAGGCTTTCAAGCTTAGTTTAGCTTACACAAACCCAATGCGACTCAGATCCTATTCGGGCGAGCTCGCTTTCCTCAATTAACCTCGATGCTTTGGAGGTACGGCTGCACGTTGGTGAGACAAGCGTCGGTGCCCTGCTCTTGTAATCGATGGCCTGAGTATCGCAGGCAGTGGTGTGCACTGTGGCGAATGCCCGTTTTTGTCTGTTTGGATTGTGCTCGGCAGTGTGTATATGGCCTCCAGGAAATTGAACGAACAACCCTAAACCCTCAAGCCCTAAATGAACAGCCATACCGGTCTGATTGCAAGGGAACATGGTACCTCAACAGCTTTGACCCAGGTCTGGGCTAGCGAGCAGAATAGTACATAATAGAAGGGCCTAAATAACTACCTATATTAGTTTGGTGTTCCATATTAATATAATTAATATAATTTAATTATAGTCTTATAGTATAATGGGCCCCTATAGTAGCATCCTTCTTGTGGTCGCGGTTCGGTTTCTACTACACAAGATCGGGCATCGGCCGCAGAAGCGCAACAGCTGCTGTGGTTTGAGGCTGGTGAAGTTGAGAGCTTCAGATCTAAGGGCGCTGGCCGATACGCCCAAGTTTGAGAAACATACTGCATGCCTTTTTTCGACTTTACATGTGCCTCATTTTCCGAACAGGTGCATTTCCAAACCGTGGAGGCTCGCAATGAGCCGCTGCTGCATGCGGTGCACGCTGGAAAGCAATCAGCGAGCAGCCTGGCAGCGACGCTCTTGGGTAGAGGCTTGCGGAAGCTTGCTTGACTCTGCATTCCACCTGCTAGCTCTCACCCGAGTCTTCCTTGCTTTCCTTCCATCGAATAGGTCCGAGATCGTCTTCTTCGATGCGCGGGTCTTGAGGTTCCACGGGTGCGGGGTTTTGCTATTCGGCTCGCTGTGCGGCTGATAGTTTCTAGTCCTCTCGAAAGGTGATGGTCCGGGTGCTGCAGAAGGTAGCGGAGATCCTGTCCGGTGAGAAGGATGATTTGACACGGGTCCCTCTGGTTTAGGGAAGTTGGGGGCCTTCATAAGGAGACTATTCACTATGTAAACCCCTCTCAGCACCTACGGAGTTTGCGGCATTCTACATCAGGTCACACCCTCAAACAACTTTTTAAGTCAGCGCTGAACACCTTTCCTAGTCCAGAGGTCGGCGACAGTCCGGATGGGCTTGTGTTTTTTCGTGGCAGCAGAGTTCGCTCTGTCCAGCATTGAGAAAACCGATCTTGCGAGCACAGGCCATGATCCGCAGAACTAAAGTTGAAGGAAACGACAGCTGTGAGGCGAGTCCCGAAGCCTTGTCTGTCAGCCTTGGCTTTTTCGGTTCAGAAGCGGGCCGGAGGCTAAGTCCATGGCAGTTGTGCCAAGGACTGCCAGCCGCAATGAAGAGGTCCTTCAACGTGTATGCTTTTGTGGCCTTGACCGTTGTTTCTTACGAAGCAATCCGTGGGGCGATCGCCTTCAAGGTCACCTCCAATGAGGCTGTGCCGTTGAGCACTCTGAGCTTCAGTGCAGCTGAGATCGGGGCCGGAAAGATTATCGACGCAGTGGATGAGTGCCTGAGTCGTCGGATGATGGCCGCCGACATGGACGACTGGAAGCTGTTGCGGCTGAACAAGGTGAGGCGTGCAGAAATCGTCTCGAAGCTTGTGCAGGCGAACATCAGCTTGAGAGAATTCGGCGAGCAATGGTCCGACGACGAGGCAACCATCGAGGCAACGAAGCTCGCTGGACGCCAGGCAGCCGAGGAGATAGCCCACAAGGAGTTTGAGGAGCTGATCCACACAACACTCTCGGGGTCCAACCTCAGCCCGTCTGCGGTGCAGGAGCCTGGGTGTATTGTGGTGTGTTTTGTCTGCATATATATATATATATATCTGATATCATCTATGTATATATATATACATATATATATATATATATGTATACGTGTGTATGTGCGCATGTATGTAGGTATGTTCCTTTGTTTGTATGCGCGCATGTATGTGTGTATGTATGGATGGATTGATGGATGGATTGAGGGATGAAGACTGAATAAACGAATAGATGCATGAATGCATGAATGCACGAATGGATGGACGGGAATGAAATGAAGTGGAATGAGATGAGATGACTAAATGAATTAATGAACGAATGAAAAAATGGAATGAATGAATACATTAATGAACTGAATGTTGGCCGTAGGCAGATAGGTCCAGGTATGCATGTGCGTACATCTATTCTTTTATTTGTCAGTGTTTCTTTTTGTCTGTGGGCGCGTGTGTGCGTGCCGCACGCCGTTCCGGAGGAATTTGCGACCAAAATGGAGGAGATGGCTGAGATGTGTGGGCAGGGCGAGGAGGGAGCAGGGTTGGCCAGCGACGAGCTCAAGGTTTTGAAGGGCAACGTGTCGGCCATGGAGTCCACCATCGCCCATGAGCTTGCAGTTTACGCAGAAAACCTCTGTCAGGTGCCCTTGTGAAGCAACATCGAGAAGTGCTCCCCCTCTCTCTCTCTCTCTTTCCCTCTCTCTGTCACAGTTAGCTGGCAGTGTATGGTGCATAGTTCACATGTGGTCGGGAAATTGCCATTTGGCCGCTTGGCAGGTGCAAGTGCTCGATACTGATTTCTTTGTCATGCATTTGGGGGGTGTCTCGGACTGCAGTGAGCTGATTGGCCTGTCTCTGATGGCGAAAGCGCAGAGGGCAGGACAACACCTAGACTACTACGCAAAGTCCGCCTTGGTGCTCCACAACCAGGAGAACGGCGTTGGCCATCATTTCGTCCAGCTCTTGAAGGGCCATGGAAATCGCGAAACGACGACCAATGTGGCGACTTTCCAGGCCATTTTGCAGAATGCCAGCCAGGCAAGTGCAGAGCATTTGCCCACCATGGCCCGTCTTCGCTTGCTGGACTTGAAGCACTACGAGCACGTGCACGGCTACACCGTTGAGTCATATTGCCGTGGAAACCGCCTAGGAGTTGCTCCGTGGGTTCGGGAGAGCCCTGAGATCCAAAACTACGTGGATTGTCTGTGTGTGCGACAGCAGCCCTCCCTGCTGTGCGACGCCCAGCATCTCCAGGAGCTCGAAAGCATCCGGCCCATAGTCATGAAGCGTCTGCAGGAAGCCAAGTCTGCTGCTTCCCCTGCAGCGCTGATGCAGATCGCTGAGAGCGTGAAAAGGACCATTGGGTTGGGGCCTTGTGGGGACTCGGCATTGGGCATCTCCTGCTCCCTTTGTGTCGATTCTGTGTGCATGGACGGGGGTGGCGGCTTTTCTGTGGACCACATCGCAGCTCTTACGACGCTTCTGAAAGGGCCGAGCGGCTGCATCACGGGGTCCTGCGGGATTTGCGTGGGAGTGAAGCCTGGCGATCCTTTGACGTTTAACCTGGACATAGGCGTGTCCAGCAAGTGCAACAGCCGCGCTGCCATGTTCACCAGCTTCAGCATCTCGGCTACCCTTAGCCTTTGCATTGGCGGTGTGCTTGGGCAAATTGCCGATGCCATTGGATGGGGTGCGTGCATGGAGCTCGCCAAGGTGGCTTACCGTCCCTTCATCAACAAGATGACCGTCACCCTTTCACTGCCCATCTTCCTCCCACCGCCACTCGGAGTCTCGGCCGGTATTGAGGTGAACTTGAACCTCGGCGACCTGACCCCGGCCGTCTACAAGCACTGTGCCAAGCAAGGCCACAAGGAGTACAACTGCCTGCAAAGCATGTTCGATGCTAGGGGTCCGACCGGTATCAGCCTTGGGGTGGATGTGCTCATCGGCGCGAAGATCCCCGTTTTGGGCTCGGTGGGCAAGTGGGTGCGGATCCTGGGCTTCGAAGTGGCGGAGACGGACAACTCCAGGGAGCTGGCTATGAACAAGGCTGTCGTCGTCGTTGTCGTCGTAGTAGTAGAAGTAGTAGTAGCAGCAGCAGGTGGAGGAGGAGGAGGAGCAGTAGTAGCAGCAGTAGTGAAGGAGTGTTCCTCTTCACTTCTTTGCGACTTTTTGCTGGGCAGTTTTTTGTATCCTGCAGGCGGGCGTTACCGTTGAGTACATCGGCAGCAACCCGGACGGAGGTGAGCTCTGCGGCAAGACTTTCTCGAATGTGGACTGCATCCAGAAAGCGGGTAACAAGGGTTACCGCGCCAATGCCAAAGACCAGCACAACGACAAGTTCCGGGTCTACCGGAATCCCAGCGACTCTAACCATCCGCGAGCATGGTGTGTGAGGCGAGTGGATCAATGGAATGCGGCTTGGGGCATGCAGCTCGAAATTGCTTGCAAAGTGGACAACAGCCAAGGTGGTGGCGGAGGGATCCTGATCCCCATGGGCTCTACTCACCACGAGAAGAAGTGCGTGATGCCTTCGCAGCCGGTGCGCTGCCACTGGTGGTCCGGCAACCGTGGACATCGCCTCGGTTTCGCTACAAACGATGACGGCTTCAAGATTTCTCAGAAGGGTGGGCGCGTTTGCGCACACCTGGAGCACCGGCGGCGCCGGCGCCGCCGACACCGACGGCGGCGCCGAAACTCCAACGGCTGGGACATGAACTTGGTGCTGGAGTGCGACCCTAAAGGCACTGTTGTCGACTACGTGGTCCAAGACGTCAACTTTGGCACGTCCAAGACTAACTACCGTTGTGTTTTGCCGACACATAAGATGGAATGCGAACATGATGCCGGCAATGCTCTCAAGCGGGCAAACAATCACCAGAGTGGCGACACCTTTAACATATGGAACTCTCACACAGAGCACCTGTGCGCGAGACGAACAGACCAACAAAAAGGGTGGGGAATGGATTTGAAAGTTCAATGCAAGCAGCGCGAACAGTTGTGGGGGAAAACGACTGTGCGGATTGGCACCAGCAGCGAGCAAGAGAAGTGTGTCGCAGAGCCAGTGAAGCATCTGCGCTGTGATGATATTTCAGGTAACCCACAGTATCGGTCCAGTGGTACGGACAAGCCAGACAGTTTCTTTGTGGAGCAGAGACACGGGAAGGTTTGTGCCCGCCGCACGGATCATACCGACCGCCGCCGGGAATTCCGTCGTCGGCGCAGGGACCGCCGCCGCAACGCAGGATGGGGCGTGGACTTGCAAATTGAGTGCAAGGTGTTGGTTGGACCCTGGGCGCGTGTGGACATTGGCCGTTCCAGCACTCCGTCCGGCTACAAGTGCGTCTTGCCTTCCCACAAGCTTGAGTGTGATGCAGATGCGGGCGACGTTAACAAACGACTCAACCCTTCGAGACATGGTGACACCTTCGTCATTTGGACGTCCCACACAGATCACATATGCGCAAGGCGAACGGACGTTATTGGTGGGTGGGCTATGCACTTACAGATCCAGTGCAAGAAGAAAGTGGCGCATGAGTGGAAGCCTGTGAGAGTGAGAATTGGATACAGCAACAAGAAGGAGAAGTGTATCAAGGAGCCTAGCAACAAGATCATGTGTGATTCCTTGGCTGCAAATCCGGAGTACCGATTCAACAACATCAACCTTGGTCACACGTTCAAGATTGAGCATCGTGGCAACAAGATCCTGGGCTCATAGGTATGGCTAATCTTCTTTGTTTGTAGGAGGTCGCCAACCTTTTTGTATTAGCATTTCATGAATGTACTTCGTGTGTAGAGACAGATTGGAAAGCCAGGATTTGCGTCCGGCGCACCGACAAGAAACGCAGCTGGGCTCGTTCTACATCTTTCAACCTCCGAATCAATTGCAAGGAGTTCCCCTACCCCGTGCGAGGGAGATGATGGCAGCTTCAAAGAACGTGGCGAGCAACATGACGTCAACATTCTCAAACGTGACTTGTCTTTTATGGAGGTAGGATCTCTACCTTCAGCTCCGTGGTGTTCCGGGTGGATATGATGTTGTTTGGTGTTCCCGGTCATGATGAGGTCTGAGGTGTCTTTGGGGTTGCTTGAGGCTTTGGAGTCTGCAGAGCATGGGCTGAAGGCATTTGCGCAGACCTTCGGTTTTTCATACTCTGAAGCTGCACTCAGGTGCTGAGCACGTGCCATTGACACCGCCAGATTCGGCTCCGTGCAGAGAGAAAAGCGCGCTGTCTTGCGCGTCGCCACAGCTTTGTGGCCGCCGCTGATTTTGAGCTTGGATTTTGTGTTCGGCTCGGCGACACGGCTCTTCATGGATGCGGTAGCTTGACCAATGTTGCCCCCGCGCGGACTGTCACCGCACGAGACGCCCAAGACATAGTCGGGGGAGTCCACTTTGTCGAGTTCTTTGGACATTAGTCACCTCCATTTGGATGCCCGTCCGGTCCACCTTGACATGACATCAGCCATGCATATTACACTGTCCCTAGAAACCCTACGTCCCGAACCCCAACACACGAAACCAGCGCCCGCAACACTATTTCCAAGCCCCTCGCCTCGCCTCTCAAACTCGTGACCTCGTCAGCCAAAGTCTCGTACGTAGTACTTGAAGGATCATGGGACTTCTAACCCGAATGAAGATACTCATGCCCCTTCTCACCTTCTTACCAAGTCCCATGATCCTCCAAGTAACGGAAGTTCAAACCGCAAACTCTGGAACACATCTCTCCTGCGCTGGGCCCTTCGCTGGAGGGGGCTCCTTGGCTTCGGCTCTGGGTGCTTTTATGTGGGTACTTCTGATGTCTTTTTTGAGGTTTTGGGTTTAGGGTTTAGGGAGCAGGGTTTAGGGTTTAGGGTTTAGGGTTTAGGGTTTAGGGTTTAGGGAACAGGGTTTCGGGTTCAAGCTGTTGGTTTCACGGTTTGGGGTGCAGGTCTTGTGGTGTGCGTTTCGGGAGCTTGCTGCGGACTTGGGCTGTGGAAGTTCAGGGATTAATTCGGGTTCACGTGCATGGTCGACGGGTGTCCGAAGAAGGTCTGTGGGTTTTTGTGACGAAAACTGGTGTGGTGTATGGGATTTTGGGTCAGCCTTCGAAGTTCAGAGCTGTGGAGCATCGACAGTAAAGCCGAAAATTTGAACGATCAAGCACAAGCCTTAAATCCATGACCCGAGCCATGAACTTAGAGCACGGAACGGGCTCCAAACTCTGAAGCCAACACAACCAACAGCAGTATACTATACTGAAACATACTGCAATATACTATTACCCCGGGTGCTTAACGCAACGCAGTGTAGGGTAAAAGTGAGCCGCAGTGAACGTATAATACACTTTACTATATTATACGATAGAATATGGCCGACAAAGGTTCCTTGGCCATGGAGCCCGGGGACACCAGCGTGCTGGCACGCTATTTCCTTGGGGGAGATTGCTCGTTTGCTCGTGAGCCTCTGGGTGCAGAATTTAGGATTGCGCATGGGACGAAGGTTTAGGGTTGCGGGAGCATGGCTGGGTTTCGAGCGTTTAGGCGTCCGGCCGTTGGCCGTAGAGGATTTCAGAGTTTAGCATGTCTCAAAGCTTAGGGCTCGGATGCCAAGCTTCAACTCCAAAGGCTCGGCGCACTTTCGCTTTTCAAGGTTATCCTAATCAGCGTCGTCAGTCTGATGCTACTGGTGACAACTGCAAAATAATGCAGCATGGTACGAGTGACCTGTACAGGCATTACAACAGTGGCGCTCGCCGTGAAGCTTCACATCAGTCGTTCGAGTAGTAGCCCAATCAGCGAATGAATGCGGATGTAACTCGCTGGAATCTCTGCTGTGGTCTGAGTCCAAGGGGCAGTAACAGGTGACCCAGCGATGGCAAGCCGTGGTTTGGATGCCAGAGAATGGTCATGGACAAAACGAGGCATTGATACCTTAAGAACTGTTTTGCCTTGGCTCAGAGTGCCGGGCAGATTTTGTTTATGGGCGTGCCACTGCCCTCGTGGATTTCGGCTGCCATGGCCTGCCGTGAGCTCAATGAGTTCTTCGCTGGTGTTGCAGGAACATGTTATTCATTTATCATGAGGTTTGTCCTTGAGCCGATTGATCGCTCTCTCCCCTTTCGTCGTCCTCTCTCTCTCTCTCTCTGTGCACCTGTCCGCTTTGCGGTTCTGCCTGTCTGCTTGGACGCTTCTCGGTAGCCAGTACATCGCGCACTGCACTGTCTGTACACATGTCAATGTGTATTTGTGTGCGTGTGCGTGTGTAGATGCTTGCACAAATTTGCAGATAGCTACGTCCGCGTGGCGGCCCTGTGCTGTTAGGCACAGAGCTGCAACCTGTCTCCAACCTGAGCCCTAAACCCTAAACCCCTCTTCTCTGAGGTACCCCTCGAGGTCTCCATTACGATAAACTCCTGTCAGGTTTCTGTAACTTGTGCTGGACCCCGCCCGAGGCATCGCCTAGGCCGAGGCAGACTTTTGCAGAAGGACTGGGGCTTCAGGGTCTGAGGATGTGAAGGTTTGGGCTCAGAGTTTGAGGATGTTGAGTGGTCGAGAGTTTCAAGTTCAGGGCTTCGAGCTTTTGAGGGTTCGTTGGAGTTTTTGCATGTGGGATTTTGGTAGCTTGTAACGGTGGCTACCTCGGTTGCAAGCTCATTCTTCTGCCTCCAATGATGCTTCAGTCAGTTTCGGGCAGATTCAGATCCGCAACAGAGGCGGTAGACATGTTGCCCGGCAGTTTGGCGATCCTACGACCAAAAGCCCCAAGCCCAACCCTAACACAAAGCCTCAATCTAGACACCCTAGATGCAATGAGCTGTTACCACGAACCACCATATCCTAAATCTTACATCTGCGATCCAAAAGTACAACATGAGCAACCCGAAACACACTTCAATCCCTGAGCCCCATAGCCTGGGCGCCGAAACATAAGTACGCCAGATCCCAGAGATCGGTTTAGGAAAGCCCCAAACCATCCTTATATATGGATCTTAGTCTCTGGAAGCTGTTGAACCTCTAAGCCCACAAAGCCCGCAGAGGTCGCAAGCAGCAGTCTTACTGCCCAAGCCCTGAACTAAACCAGCTGCTAAACCCAACCCTCAACGCCAAACCCCTAGGGCTTTACTTGGAGGATCATGGGACTTAGTAAGTAGGGTTATAAGTACCTTAATCGGGGTTATAAGCAATTATAACCGTAGTTACCTTACTTGTAACCCCACTTACTAAGTCCCATGATCCTTTAAGTAGACCCTAAACCCTGAACCCTTATAGTACCCCTATAGATTCCCTTAAAGGGACCCCTTAAGGACCCCAATTACTAAGTCCCATGATCCTTTAAGTAGGGCCTTGAGGCGGCTTGTCGGAAGTGCCGAAAGCTCCCGAGCTTCGAAGCCCCGAAGCGAGGCCCAAAGAGACGCTAAAGGCTGGGCGCCAGCGAGGCGCTCGCCATGAGCTGGCGTGCGGAGTCCACGCCTGGCATGCTCGTTTAGCTTAGAGAGGAGCGTAGGATAGATAGCAGGGTTTGGATGGTTGAGGTATTGCGGGGGGTTTTTGGTGTTGGGGTGGAGAATTTAGGGGTAATTAGAGGGTCAGGAATACGAATGAGATTGTTACCAGTCAATGAAACACGAACACAAGCAGTCACATGAGGAACGGTGTAGTGTAACCGCTCCATGAATGAAGCGACTTTTCTGCAGGAGCACTCAACGGGAATAAACAAAAGTTGCCATTGTAATAAGAAAGGAACGTTGAATTCCAGGGTAGTGAGTGCAACTCGTTGAGCCGGAAATCACTGAACGATTAGAGTCCATGATTGAGTGTGCGCGCATACGCTCTGATCCACAGATCATGTCAGGCTGCAGGTTCAGTGGCCTTGTCTTTGGAGGTTCAGGTGAAGCATTGTTACTCTGTGTCTCATCCTTATTCTGATCCCGGCCAGGTATCAGAAGCAATCGGCTTTTGTGGAAGATGAAACTTGGATGCTCTTTAGAATGCTTTGTTGAAGCCCCTGCCCCTGTGAGAAGCGTGCCAGTCAGAGCTGGATGTTGGAATACCGAACTGAAACCACTGTAAACTAAGATATCATCAAGAAGCCAACAAGCTGGTTTGCCGAGCAGTTGGCACAAGAAATGCGCACATGTGACCCGTGCATGTGTGTGTATATATTTATATATATGTACATGCACATGTACATGTATGTGCGCATGATTATGTCTATGAACAGGTCGATGTGTATGTGTACATCTACATATGTATACATCCGCAAGTCTTTATCGGTGCGTGTGTGTGTGTGTGTGTGGGGTGTGTCTTCTTTCACCTCTGCAGGTGTTTTCTAGGCATGCATCCAAAGGCACATGCTAGATACACACAGAATGCACGCCTCTGTTACAGCCAAGGAGAAGGAGTACCTGAAGCTTGCCCGGGGCCTGGTTGCCGCAGTACAACTCCACGGTTCGGGTCAGGGTTTAGGCTTGATGTTTAAGCAGAACTATTCGGGGTTTGTGTTCAGGTTTTAGGATAGATGTTAAGGGTTTAAGTGAGAGCTCAGGGTTCAACTTCCCGATATTCGTCGCTTATTTGCCGCTGGCCGAAGCCCCCTTTTGGTGATAGAAATGAGCGTTGAGCAAACATGCATAGGATGACGCCCGGAAGGCCTGTCCCGTCATGCAAACTCTCCTGGACAGTGCTCTTGCTTTCCGTAATCCTCTTGAAGCCCGAAAGGCCAAGAAGCTCCGGGACATCTTGAAGTTGGAGGACGTGGCAGCCATGTTTCCACGGTCACCTGCGAGGGAGCCGGTGCCATCGTAGCCGGAGTGGGTGGCGGCGGCACAGAGACAGCAAAGGAATGTGCAGGTGTAGCCGGAGATGTGAAGGCAGGAGGGCATCGGCTGATTCACCGGTTGGGGTGGCAGCAGGCCCTTTGGTTTTGACGCTGCAGCAAT